CCCCCCCCCCTCAAGCCAATGAGCGAGTCACGTGACGTCACTTCATCACCCGTCACCCCCCCCCTCAAGCCAATGAGCGAGCACGTGACGTCACTTCATCACCCGTCACCCCCCCCCCTCAAGCCAATGAGCGAGCCGCGTGACGTCACTTCATCACCCGTCACCCCCCCCCTCAAGCCAATGAGCGAGCACGTGACGTCACTTCATCACCCGTCACCCCCCCCCTCAAGCCAATGAGCGAGTCACGTGACGTCACTTCATCACCCGTCACCCCCCCCCTCAAGCCAATGAGCGAGTCGCGTGACGTCACTTCATCACCCGTCACCCCCCCCTCAAGCCAATGAGCGAGCCGCGTGACGTCACTTCATCACCCGTCACCCCCCCCTCAAGCCAATGAGCGAGCCGCGTGACGTCACTTCATCACCCGTCACCCCCCCCTCAAGCAATGAGCGAGCCGCGTGACGTCACTTCATCACCCGTCACCCCCCCCTCAAGCCAATGAGCGAGTCACGTGACGTCACTTCATCACCCGTCACCCCCCCCTCAAGCCAATGAGCGAGCCGCGTGACGTCACTTCATCACCCGTCACCCCCCCCCTCAAGCCAATGAGCGAGTCACGTGACGTCACTTCATCACCCGTCACCCCCCCCCTCAAGCCAATGAGCGAGCCGCGTGACGTCACTTCATCACCCGTCACCCCCCCCTCAAGCCAATGAGCGAGCCGCGTGACGTCACTTCATCACCCGTCACCCCCCCCTGAAGCCAATGAGCGAGTCACGTGACAGCGATAAAGAGCGAGGCGAGGGCGATGGGCGCACAGCGGGAGGGAGGAGAGTTGGATGGTGAAGAAGAAGATGACGACGATGAAGATGACGACGACGATGCTGATGACGGTGACGTTGATGACGATGATGATGGTGGTGGTGGTGGTGGCGTTGTTTATGTTGTTGCCTGGCGGCCTCTGCTTCCTCGGTCTCGCCGCCTGTGCAGAGAACGGCGCAGCGGGTCCAGCAGCAGCAGCAGCAGGAGGCGAGTGATGTTGGAGTCTAACCACTCGCCCTCACCACTCACCCTCACCACTCGCCCTGGTGGGGAGGGTGGAGGGGCTGGGTTGGGAGGGTGGGGAGGGCTGGGTGGGGAGGGGGGGAGGGGCTGGGTGGGGAGGGTGGGGAGGGGATGGGTGGGGAGGGTGGGGAGGGGCTGGGTGGGGAGGGTGGGGAGGGGCTGGGTGGGGAGGTGGGGAGGGGATGGGTGGGGAGGGTGGGGAGGGTGGGGGGGTGGGGAGGGTGGGGAGGGTGGGGCTGGGTGGGGAGGGTGGGAGGGTGGGGCTGGGTGGGGAGGGTGGGGAGGGTGGGCTGGGTGGGAGGGTGGGGGGGTGGGGCTGGGTGGGGAGGGTGGGGGAGGGTGGGGCTGGGTGGGGCTGGGTGGGGAGGGTGGGGAGGGTGGGGCTGGGTGGGGCTGGGTGGGGAGGGGTGGGGAGGGTGGGCTGGGGGGGGAGGGTGGGGAGGTGGGATGGAGGCTGGGATGGTGGGAGGGTGGGAGGGTGGGGCTGGGTGGCGGCTGGGTGGGGAGGGGCTGGTCACCCGTGGTGCCCTTATAAAACTCAAACGTTTCACCTACTCCATCGCCTGGCTTGTGCCCGCCCTCACAGTCGGGCATATTTGCGGATTACACCACGTAACCGTTGACCCTGCAGGCCATTGACCGAGCAACCCGACGTTTCTACCAGCTCCCTCCGCAGGACAATGTGTTCCCTGGTGGGCAGTGTGGAGCCTGTTGTTCCTACCTGTAATATTCCGATCGACTCGTGTGGGCGGCGGTGGGGGGGTGGGGGGGGGAGATCATTGTAATTGTTACAGGACCAATGATTGTGGAGCGATGTGTCCTGTTGCTTGTTAGTTTGTCTGTGTCGCTACCCCGGGCCGCTTTATTTACCCGACTGCTAGAGAGGAGATGTGGATGGTCAGGGCGGTGCACTACCCTGCCGCTGAATGTATTTGTGCTGTTCGTACTATTATTTCACAGCTAACTGGAAGGTTTTCATGATGATGGAATTTTGCTTGTAATTTCATTCATCTTTCAAGAAGCTTTTTTCACCACTAGTTTATTTACGTCCCTAAACAGAGGGTTTTTGTTGTTGTTTTCACCACGCCTACGGTGGTTTCAATTTTTGTTTTTACATCGTTGGAATTGTAAGGCTCCCGCTTTTGCTTTTTGTTAGGACCCAGCGCGGTCGTGGGAGTCCAATCTTCGTGCTAATTGAAAGTGCACAGTCACTAATTGAAGGCGTCTCCTTAACAAAACAAGTTGAGCCCCCCCCTCCCCACACACACACAACTGCAGCAAGAGTCATTGACTAGCTTGTATTTTTCACCCCCTGGATTATTCTCATCGTTTTCATGTTGCAGTGGTTTCTGACGTTTCTCCCAATTACCACGACTCACGGTGACACCCCCCCTCCGCCCGTCACCTCCACAATCCCAACCCGACCCACAGCCCCCTCCGCACCCCCACAAAACATCGTGTGCGTGGCCCTCAGCTCCAGCAGCCTGCTGGTCAGCTGGGAGCCGCCACCCGCACACGACGGCGGCAGCAGCAGCAGCATCACGGGGTACACGGTCGCATACAGGGAGCTGCCCAGCCAAGGCGCAGACGCAGCAGACGACCAACAAGGGGACACACTAGCTGACGCACCAGCTGACGCACCAGCTGACGCACTATGGGACGTACTAGCTGACGAACCAGCTGACACACTAGCTGACGCACTAGCTGACGAACCAGCTGACGCACTTGCTGATGAACCAGCTGACACACCAGCTGACGCACTAGGGGACGCACTAGCGGACGAACCAGCTGACAAACTAGCTGACGCACTATGGGACGCATAGCTGACGCACTAGCTGACAAACCAGCTGACACACTAGCTGACGCACTCGTGGACACACTAGCTGACGCACTATGGGACGTACTAGCTGACGAACCAGCTGACACACTAGCTGACACACTAGCTGACGAACCAGCTGACGCACCAGCTGACGCACCAGCTGACGCACTATGGGACGTACTAGCTGACGCACTAGCTGACGAACTAGCTGACGAATCAGCTGACGCACCAGCTGACGCACCAGCTGACGCACCAGCTGACGAACCAGCTGACGCACCAGCTGACGCACCAGCTGACGAACCAGCTGACGCACCAGCTGACGCACTATGGGACGTACTGGTGACGCACCAGCTGACGAACCAGCTGACGAACCAGCCGACGAACCAGCCGACGCACCAGCCGACGCACCAGCCGACGCACCAGCCGACGCACCAGCCGACGCACCAGGGGACGAAGCGAACGTCACGGGCGGGCGGCCGAGCGGGGAGGGGGTGGCTGGTGCCGGACGCGCGGCAGCCCGCGGAGTACGTGAGGAGCGTGCGCTGAGCGGGCTGCTGCCCGAGGGGGCCCTGTACGAGGTGCGGTGCGGGCCCACACGGCGGTTGGCCGGGGCTCTCGTCACTGCCGTCCAGGCGGCGCACACCACCACGGTACGTCAAGGGGGGGGGGGCCGCTGTGTTCCACGCCGTGGCCGTGCCGGCCGGACCGACACCCTGACGTGGCTCTTGAGTGTTTCCCCTCCTGGTGGTGGTGCCTCTGCAGCTACTGCTGACGGTTGTGTCTGGCCAGAGTTCCTCATCCTCTCTCGGCTTTCTGCGCTGCGGCTCTCGCGCGCCAGTTCTCCGCGGCGCTGCTCCCGCCGCTGCGCTGAGCCGCTTTGCGGGTTCCGTTTGTGTGTCTGGTCTGTCTGTGTGGTTGTCTGTTGTGTGGTTGTCGTGTGTGTGTGTGTTGTGTGTGTGTCTGTGTGTTGTGTGTGGTGTGTGGTTGTCTGTGTGTGTGTCTGTGTGTCTGTGTGTGTGGTTGTCTGTGGTGTGTGTGGTTGTCTGTGTGTGTGTGTGGTTGTCTGTGTGTGGTTGTCTGTGTGTGTGTGTGTGGTTGTCTGTGTGTGTGTTGGTTGTCTGTGTGTTGTGTGGTTGTCTGTGTGTGTGTGTTTGGTTATTGTCTGTGTGTGGGTGTGTATTTGGTGTGTGTGTGGTTGTCTGTGTGGTGGTTGTCTGTCTTCTCGTGTGTGCTGTGGTTGTCTGTGTGTGTGTAACGGGGAGTGGTGTGTGTCCGCCGGTTTCCCCTGTTGTATCCCCCAATCCCGTAGCTGCCACCCACGCTGCCCCACCGTCTCGTGGTCTCACTCCACACTCGTCCGTGATGTCTACGGGAGACGAGCCGACGTTCCCGCGCCAGCGGCATCAGCGCCTCCTCCTTCGGCTTTCCTGATTGCGTGGTGGTGGTGATTGCGCTGCCTTCCGTTGGTGGGGTGCCCTCGTGTGGGGCCGACAGCAGCGCCTCCAATGCGTCCCGGTTGAGTTTTTTTTTGGCGGGGGATTGCTGGTGCCTACGGCAACGTTGACTCCCTCGCCCGGTCAGCGGGAGGTCAAGGGTTCTATCCCGACCCTTGCGCTGCCCGCTGCTGTTTTGCGTCTCTCTCCCCGTGGATTTCTCTCGGGGCCTGCGGTCCCCCCACCCCCCCCTCCACGTTCGGAATCGACGTCTCCAAGCGTTCAGAGTCATTTGGTTGCTGCTGCTGCTGCTGCTGATGCTGCTGATGCTGCTGATGTTGATGCTGCTGATGCTGTTGCTGCTGATGCTGTTGCTGCTGCTGTTGTTGCTGCTGATGTTGTTGCTGTTGCTGCTGTTGCTGCTGCTGCTGTGTTGTTGCTGCTGCTGCTGTTGTTGTTGCTGCTGATGCTGTTGTTGTTGCTGCTGATGCTGTTGCTGATGCTGTTGCTGCTGATGTTGTTGCTGTTGCTGATGCTGTTGCTGCTGATGCTGTTGCTGCTGCTGTTGTTGTTGTTGCTGATGCTGTTGCTGCTGATGCTGCTGATGCTGTTGCTGCTGCTGTTGTTGTTGCTGCTGATGCTGTTGCTGCTGCTGCTGCTATACATTTGCCACCCGACGACGATGACGACAATAAGCCACCGAGTGGAGCTGTCACTTGTGATAGCCGGTGAAGCTTCTACAAAACAAGTTGTGACACAGCCACTTAGTCAGGCTTAGTGACACGTAGACAGAACGTGCCAACGACTTACTAGTTGATAGTGTGCAGCGTAGTGCATAGTGTAGTGTATATAGTAGTGTAGTGTATACTAGTGTGTTGTGTAGTGTATACTAGTGTAGTGTGTAGTGTAGTGTATACTAGTGTAGTGTGTAGTGTAGTGTATACTAGTGTGTTGTGTAGTGTATACTAGTGTAGTGTGTAGTGTATACTAGTGTAGTGTGTAGTGTATATTGTAGTGTATACTAGTGTAGTGTGTCGTGTAGTGTATACTAGTGTAGTGTGTAGTGTATATTGTAGTGTGTCGTGTAGTGTATACTAGTGTAGTGTGTAGTGTATATTGTAGTGTATACTAGTGTAGTGTGTAGTGTATATAGTAGTGTAGTGTATACTAGTGTAGTGTGTAGTGTATATAGTTAGTGTAGTGTATACTAGTGTAGTGTGTAGTGTATATAGTAGTGTAGTGTATACTAGTGTAGTGTGTAGTGTATATAGTAGTGTAGTGTATACTAGTGTAGTGTGTAGTGTATATAGTAGTGTAGTGTATACTAGTGTAGTGTGTGTATAGTAGGTAGTGTATACTAGGTAGGTGTAGTGTATATAGTAGGTAGTGTATACTAGTGTAGTGTGTAGTGTATATAGTAGTGTAGTGTATACTAGTGTAGTGTGTAGTGTATATAGTAGTGTAGTGTATACTAGTGTAGTGTGTAGTGTATATAGTAGTGTAGTGTATACTAGTGTAGTGTGTAGTGTATATAGTAGTGTAGTGTATACTAGTGTAGTGTGTAGTGTATATAGTTAGTGTAGTGTATACTAGTGTAGTGTGTAGTGTATATAGTAGTGTAGTGTATACTAGTGTAGTGTGTAGTGTATATAGTAGTGTAGTGTATACTAGTGTAGTGTGTAGTGTATATAGTAGTGTAGTGTATACTAGTGTAGTGTGTAGTGTATATAGTAGTGTAGTGTATACTAGTGTAGTGTGTAGTGTATATAGTAGTGTAGTGTATACTAGTGTAGTGTGTAGTGTATATAGTAGTGTAGTGTATACTAGTGTAGTGTGTAGTGTATATAGTAGTGTAGTGTATACTAGTGTAGTGTGTAGTGTATATAGTAGTGTAGTGTATATAGTAGTGTAGTGTATGTAGTGTGTAGTGTGTATACTAGTGTAGTGTAGTGTGTACTAGTGTATACTAGTGTAGTGTGTACTAGTGTATACTAGTGTAGTGTGTAGTGTTGGAGAGTAAACCCACCACAACATTCGTCAATTCGAGTACCTGGTGACACTTCACCGGCAATTACAACGACGACGACAACAACCACAACCGGCATCATCATCAATGCTGCTGCTGCTGGTTGTTGTTGTTGCATTTCGGGAAGCGTCGCAGAGTTCTGTGCGTCTGTGAGGTTTTTCTCGGCGTGGTCTTTCCCCAGCGGACGGGCGAGGAGGGAACGCCCAGAGCGTGGTCCCCAAGAGCGATGCCGAGTGCAGGTAGCCAACACAACTACCACCAACACCAATACCACCGCCACCAATACCAACACCACCACCAACACCGCCACCAACACCAATACCGCCACCGCCACCAATACCGCCACCGCCACCAACACCGCCACCAACACCGCCACCGCCACCAACACCACCAACACCACCTACGCCGCAACCACCACAGCCACCAACACCGCCAACAACGCCGCCGCCACCAACACCGCCACCTCCACCACCACCACCACGGTGGAGCAGAAACAATCAGAATTTTAGGACCTTGCCCCCCCCGGTTGACGGTTGACACCGCCGGATGAAAGCCGCTCCCCAAATCACCGCCGCCACACCACGTGGGGCGTGGCGGCGACGCCATCCGTCTGGCTCCTGCACCATCACTCCGCGGTGGCTCGGAGATGTTGACTACCTCGCCTGGCACGCAGGAGGTCGTGGGTTCGACCCCTGACGATGCCTGCCGCTTGATATTTGGAGTTTGCGGCGCCTTCAGAAGCGGCTCCTGTCGATGCGCTTCGTGCGTTCAGTTTGTCAACCTTCACCCGAACCTCCGAATTAGAAACGGTTTGTCTACGAGCGGTGCGGAATAACGAGTTCAACGTACGCGCACGCTCGTGCACTGGGTGCGTGCGTATCGCACTCGCGCGAGGTACGTGCGTCTCACCATCGCCTACTTTCTCCGCTCCCTCCAATGGCTACGGGCGCGGTGTGCTGGCCGGGGGTCGCCACAGCGGCGGCGTGGAGATGACGAAGCTGCAGCACGTGGTGGTGGTGGTGGTGGAGGAGGAGACGTGAGGGGAGGAGGCGATGGTGGTGTAATAAAAGACGGCGTCATTTACTGCTGGTCTCCGCTCGTCTTTTATTCAGGTTCTTCTCCGCACCCCACTGGTCTCCTCCGCGGACCAGCGTCGTCTCCTCTCGCGCGCCCCGCACATACTCCCTCCTCAACTCCGCCACTCGTCCTCACGCCCGCTGCTCCTGACAAGGGACCAGTGTCTCCTCTCGCGCGCCCCGCACGCGCTCTCCCGTCAGTCGCTCCGCTCCTCCCCGCTCCGCACACCGCTGGCCGACGGTGTGCGGAAGCCCCCTCAGTCACGTGGCTGATGGGGCGGCGGCCACCCCACGTGGTCCCGCTTCTTCACTCCATCGACTGGCCCCGATCTCTCCCGGGCTCCCCTCTATAACCTCTCTCCCACGTGACCCCGACTCCTCCGCTTCCTGATCGTTACATCCGGCCTTGCCATCCTGCCCTGCTGGCTCCACCCCCGTTCACCTCGCTTCCCATTGGAGCTGCCGAGGTGAACGGCGGCCCCTGCCACACGCCCCCCACACCGGGCTCCGCCCCCAACACCCCGGGCCGCGTGATTGGGCCAGAGTCCAGCAGCAACCCCATTTACGCCGCGTTACACATGTAACGTCAACTTTTGAAAGTTCACATTTATCACGAATATCACATTCTTGTTTATCTGTCTGCTTGAGAATGTCTTCAAAGTGTTTCGGTCGGAAATATTCCTCCCAGGCCAAGCCCCAGAGAGGGCGTGGTGTATTCCGCAAATATGCCGACTGTGTGGGCGGGCACAAGCCGGCGTGAGTAGGTTAAACGTTGAGTTTTATAAGGGCACCACGGGGTGACCAGCCCCTCCCCACCCAGCCCC